TAAATAATATATAGAAGAAATACTATTTTAGTAAAATAATTAAGAAATTCTCTATTTAATAATATACTTTTTAAAAAAAAATCTGCCTGTAGAGTATAATTACTAGATTTATAATAAAAAATTATTAGTAATTATTTAAGTTTTATAAAAATAGAAGCTAGAGCTTATTATATTTTTTTATTTTAAAATTTTTAATAATTATTAAAATTTAAAATATTTTATAACCTAATAGCGGCTCATAAAATAATAGATATATTAAATTTAATTTTTAAATTATTTTAATTTTATAATTAATTATTATCCAGAAATAATAAATATTTAATTAAATATCTTATCTTGAAGGTCCCAGGACATGTCTAAAAAAAAAGATAAGTATATTATAAATTAAAAGATTTAGTTATTTTATTCTGTATCTGAAGAAGAGCTTATTTATATAATATTTATTAATAAAATTTTTAATAAAGAAATTCCTGCCAGCTTAAAGCCTGAGGAACTGATACTGGATAATCTATAGAAATAAATAAAATAAATTAATAAGAATCTGAAGAAATACTATAAAGTAATAATTAAAAATAGATCTAAACTTTTTAAATAATTAAAATTAAAAATCTTTATTACAGAGTACTAGCTAAATATAAATTAATATTTACTTTTCTAAAAGTAAGTCTAGATTTCTAATTCAGAGTTTTTATAAATTTAGATTATTTAAGAAATCTATAATAATATAATTACTAGATACCCCGGATAGGACTAGATTTATAAAATAATTATTTATTATTATTACTAGCTAAATATAAATAAAGATATCTGTTAGTTCTACTGTAATTATAATAATTATAAAATTAATTATATTTAGAAAAATTATAAATAAAGTCTTTTAAAACTGCTGCTAATTCTTAATTAATTTTAATAAAATATTATTATTAATTTTCTAGTAAACCTCCCGGAGTCTTAAGATTATAAAAATATTATAATTATTATTAATTAATTAATTAAAAATATTATTATTGAAATTATCCTGAGCATGGATATAAAGGATTTTATAAATATATTTATTTAAATATTTTATAATTATTATAAAATATTTTAATCAATGGTTTCAGACTATAATTTTTAATTTATAAATAAATTATAAATAACCCTGTGCAAGATCTTAGATATTAAATAATATTTTTTTATTATTTACTATTCTAAAATAGATAGAGTAACAGAGTATTAAATTATAATTATTAAGATTTTTTTATAATATTTTATAAATTAATAATAAATTAATTAGTAAGAATTACTGTTTCTAATATAATTAATTCTAAATAATTAAAACTTTATATTAATAAAAGTAAGTCTCTTTTTCTTATAATATAATTTTTATATAAAATTCTTAGACTTGAGTATTAAAACAGATATTCTAAAATATAATTAAACCAGGAATTTCTGAGAATAAATTAAAATTATTTTTAGTAAACTTTAAAAAATCTAAGATATTATTAATTTAATAATAATAACAGTATAAGAAGTATAAAAATAATATATTAATTAATAATAAAATCTTATTTTCTGTTATAAAGAAAATAATAAGATCTAGTTAGATCTGAAAAATATTATAATTAATTAATTTAATAAGAAGTTAGACCAGCAGAATATAAAATTTATAATATTAAAATAAATTAAAATATATATATATAAGCTGGATATATTATCTAGAATTTATTTAATATTTTATATTAATTTATTTTAATCTATTACTACAGATCCTCTATCTATTTAAAAAATAATTAATTAATAACTAAATATTATTATTACAGAAGACAGTACTAAGAAATATATTATTAAAAAGATTATAAATAAGAAAAATATATTTTAAAGAAAATACAGCTATAAAAAAATATTTTTAGTTAAATAGAAAAAATATATTAAATTTATATAAAAACTAGTAATTGAGCTTTATGATACTGAGATCTATAAATACTAGTATAATCTTATTTATTTATTTTATTTAAAAAAATCTATATCAGCTCAGCTGTATCATGATAAGAAGAATAATAATTAAAAAAAGCTAGACTTTATCAGCTATCTAGAATTAGAATATTTATATTCTAATTTATCTAGTTCTAGATCTTGATCCGGAAATATCTGTAAGAAAAATAGAAATCTCTAGAATAATAAAGAAATTTACTAGAGTTATAAAGAAAAACTTCCAGAAGAATTATTTATAAGAAGAACTAATCTGTTTATAGATTAGATAATTCTTTCTTTAATAAATTCAACTTCTTTACTAATTACTGTACCTTACATAGTCCTCCTGGCTTCTTAGCCCGTCACACAAGCGCCTTCTATAATAGTTAGTAGTTATAGAGATTAATAAATTTATACTGGATTATAAAGAAAATAATTTATTATTAGTTAAAGGCAGCCAGATCTAAACAGAGAAGTAATATAATAGTAAGTAATATCTTATAATTATATAATTTCTATTTATTTACTTTATTTACTTGTCTTGTATAGCTTGTTTATCTTTATATAATTATATATTCTTTCTGAGCTTCTTTCTTTCTTTCCTCATGCTAGAAATTCTCGTTAGATAACACTAAATTTGATTATTTGAACGGCTTCCACAGAATATATTATCTTTTATTTATTAAAAAAAATATTTTATCTCAGTACCTGTTCAGTATAATAAGTCTAATTTATTTTATTATTATTATATTAAATTCTATTCCCAGTAAATCTCTGGTTATTTTATAGAATTATTATAAAAATCTTTTATAATAGTTTTTTATATTAATACTATACTAATTATTTTTTATTTATAATTATTTATAGATAATTACTGCTGGAAGCTTTATTAAATATAAATTTTTATTAATATATCTTAGTTATAGTATAAAGTATTACTTTTAATTATAAATTTTCTTATTTTTTTTAATATAGTATTAAAAATCTAATAATTTAGATTAGATAATAATATTCTCTTATTACTATTCTTTAAAAAGTTAGTTATTATTAGAATTATAGAATAAGATTAAATAAATATTTATAATAAATATATATAATAACTTTAGATAATTATTAATTAGTAGTAATAGACTAGATTTAATATATTATTTATAAAATATTAATTTTATATAATTATTATAATTTAATTTTTTATTATTTTTAATATAATTTTATATAATTTTCAAGATTCTTAATTATAAGAATATATTATTATATAAATAATATAATCAGTAGATTAGGGATATTTATAGTTTATATATATTATTTAATCTTATAATATTTTTTCTGACTGTGAGTAACAGATGTTATTAATATATAAAATATTAAATAAAAAATTATTTATTTTATTAATAAAATTTAATAAGTATTATTAAACAGTATATAACTTTATAATAATAAAATATAATTACCTGATTTAAATAAGATTTATTAATTTAAAATAAAATTTATCTAAGAATAATCATAAATAATCTTTTTATAATATATAAATAACTGACTATTATTATATATAATTATTGCTAAACTATACAGTAACAGTAAATAAGAATAAGTAATTATAGATAATAATAGTGAATAATAGTAATATATTATTATTAAATATTATTGAATATACTACTATCCTCACTACGCGGCCCTTCGGGCCCCTATGTAGTGATATATTTTTCTTGGGTTATACATCATGATGGATCGACCGGCAACTCGTCATTCTATATACCATGTAACTATCTATCATTCACATAATTGAATACTATGTCCGCTGACAGACTTCCCAAGATAATATTTCATATGTAATACTAGGGAATCTGGGCGGAATCCACAACCCCAATTTGCCAAGGTGTCTAGACATCCGCCCAGGTGCCAAGGGTGGATAGATTTCCGCCGGGCACCCAATCTCCGCCATCGATGCTCCCCCAGTCCCCAGTCCTGCCCAGAATCCATATGCACTCGGGTTTGGTAATAGTACCTGGACAGCTGTGAAGATGCCCTATCTATTTATAATTACCTTTCTTGTCTTCTCCTGGGCCATGTTGGCGTTGGCTAAAATTACACAAGCAGACTTTCTTGGCCAGATTACTGTTGGTAATGTGCACACCTTTTCCTGGGTCGGTTTAACCAGTTCTTGCTCATCCTTCACACTACCATAATTGCCTACAAGAAAAGGTGTCCCCCTCGAATGTGTTAATTCGATTAGGAGTACAGTCCGTGCGGCGATGCATCGACTACACGTCAAAATTCGTACTCATTGTCAATTAGCCAAATCTGCCTTTCGCGATTCTGGAGGCTTGGCAAAGTTTATTCCGTTGGGTCACCCAAAGAACCAACATCAGTTCTGCGGAGCGGGATGTTGGCAGAGTCTGGGCGCCAATGTCTGCCCCTCCTGTTAAACTTTCCGCCAACCCTACGGGGCAATAGGTGAAGTTACTGGGGAGCTGGGGGCAAGGATGAATCTGGGGCACCCAGATCCAGAGACTTACACGAGGTCGTTCCCAATCTCTTAAATAGCCTCTTCCCCCCGCGCGGAAAGGTATCCCGCTGAGCTTTGCCATACGCACTTGATCCGTGTAACCTGCTGAGTACAGCATACCTGCCATCTCTAATGCCAGCCGAGAAGCAACATTCCACTTCCGACCGGGGCCCCGGGGCCATCCCAGGTCCATTGAGCGGACCAGCCCACGCTCTGACTTATGAGACTGTCATCAAGGATCTGGGTACAGCCCTCGACGATGGCTTGTCTCCGGAAGAAGCTCGTCGTCGACTGGACCAGTACGGTCCCAATAAACTAGATGAAGGCGAAAGTGTTTCTATCGCAAAGATCCTCCTTCGCCAGGTGGCGAACGCCATGATGCTAGTTAAGCGGCCCACTCTCCATTTTGTGGCATAAAATGCGTCTGAGATTCCGATATCTGATCCAATTCTTTGCTGCAGGTGTTGATTCTGGCCATGGCGGTCAGTTTCGGGATTCAGTCGTGGATTGAGGGTGGAGTGATATGTGCTGTCATTGTCCTCAATATCGTCGTCGGGTTCTTTCAAGAGTACGCCGCGGAAAAGACTATGGAATCGCTTCACTCACTCTCGTCGCCGACCGGTACAGTCTCACGAGGGGGGCAGACCTTTTCGATTCCATCGCAGGAGATTGTTCCGGGTGACATGGTTGAGTTGAGGACTGGAGATACTGTTCCGGCGGATATACGGTTGGTCTTCTTTCATTATCTGCAATAGCCTGGACTGCAACGATACTAATTCGTCTCTGAACAGCCTAGTTGAAGCCGTCAATTTCGAGACCGATGAGGCCCTCCTGACTGGCGAATCACTCCCTGTTCAGAAAGAATGTGATTCCACTTTCAAGGAAGATACAGGCCCGGGCGACCGTCTTAACATCGCGTACAGCTCGAGCACCGTTACCCGCGGCCGTGCTCGTGGTGTTGTCATCGGCACAGGCATGTCCACCGAGATTGGTTCCATCGCCCTCGCCTTGCGCAATAGCAACACGAAGCGTCGTCCCGTCAAGCGTGGCCCTGACGGAGAAACCAAGAAACGCTGGTATCTCGAGGCATGGACTCTCACGGGAACGGATGCCGTCGGTCGCTTCCTTGGCGTCAATATCGGGACGCCCTTGCAAAGGAAGCTATCTAAACTAGCCTGCTTGCTGTTTGGCGTCGCGGTTATATTTGCCATTGTCTGCATGGCCGCAAACTATTTCAGCAGCAACAATGAAGTCATCATGTACGCGGTTGCGACCGGTATCAGTATGATTCCGGCGTGCTTGGTGGTTGTTCTCACCATCACCATGGCAGTCGGCACCAAACGTATGGTGGAGCGGAATGTCATCGTTCGCAAACTCGACTCGCTGGAGGCCCTCGGTGCTGTTACTGATATCTGCTCGGATAAGACCGGTACGTTGACTCAGGGCAAGATGGTTGTCAAAAAGGCATGGATCCCATCTCGTGGAACATATTCTATTGGCGCATCTAACGAGCCATTTAACCCTACCCTTGGCGAATTGCGCTTTGCGCCTGTATCTCCTTTACAATTTGGTGAAGAGGATGAAGGTCTACCGGGAGCAAATGTTGAAGACCTACTCTCAGACAATGATCAACTCCAGGACTTTCTCAATGTCGCCTCGATGGCCAACCTTTCTCACGTGTTTGAATCTGAAAATGGTGAATGGAACGCACGAGGCGAGCCCACGGAGATTGCCATTCAGGTATTCGCATCCAGGTTCAATTGGAACCGTGACCGTTGGACCAAAGGCCAAGGTGCGCTGTGGCATCAAAAGGCCGAATTTCCATTTGACTCTACCGTGAAGAAAATGTCTGTGATTTTCAGCAAGGTCGGATCAAAGGACGACCAAGACAACGCCACGATGATCTTCACCAAAGGCGCCGTTGAGAGAATTGTTGATTCATGCACGTCCGTCATTTGGGATCAAGGTTCCTCTACACCCGTGCCTCTGACTGACGAACATCGCAACTTGATCTTCCAGAATATGGAGGAGCTGGCCAAGCTCGGACTGCGAGTACTAGCACTAGCTCAACGCCCGTACAATGAGCAGGCACGAGTACTAGAGGGCTCCGACCTGGAACGCGATACTATTGAGAAGGACTTGTGTTTTCTAGGCCTGATCGGGTTGTACGATCCGCCACGACCCGAGACGGCCGGCTCAATCCAGGCCTGCTATCGGGCCGGGATCGTCGTCCACATGGTCACTGGCGATCATCCGGGTACTGCACGAGCAATCGCTCAACAAGTGGGGATCCTCCCTTCTGATTTCAGCACCGTAGCTGCGGACGTGGCGGATGCAATGGTTATGACAGCAGGTCAGTTCGACAAGCTTTCAGATGAGCAGATTGACGCGTTGCCGACGCTTCCTTTGGTCATTGCTCGCTGCGCACCTCAGACCAAGGTGCGCATGATCAGCGCCCTCCATCGCCGCAATCGTTTCGCAGCCATGACCGGCGATGGTGTGAATGACTCGCCCTCACTTAAACATGCCGACGTGGGTATCGCAATGGGACAGGCAGGATCGGATGTCGCTAAAGACGCGTCGGACATCATTCTCACAGATGACAACTTTGCCTCTATTCTCAACGCCGTTGAAGAAGGTCGTCGTATCTTTGATAATATCCAAAAATTTGTGCTGCATTTGTTGGCCGAAAACATCGCTCAAGCCTGTACCCTTCTCATCGGACTGGCGTTCAAGGATGCCGATAATCAGTCCGTCTTCCCCTTGGCTCCTGTTGAAATTCTCTGGATCATTATGATCACTTCAGGTATGCCCGATATGGGCCTGGGAATGGAGGTAGCCGCCCCTGATATTATGGACCGTCCTCCTCAGAGCAAGCAAGGTATCTTCACGTGGGAAGTGATTATCGACATTCTAGTGTATGGTATTTGGACCGCAGCGCTGTGTCTGGCAGCCTTCTCTGTCCGCATGTGGGGATTTGGTGATGGCAACCTAGCCCGTGGGTGCAACCAGGAGTGGTCGGAGCAGATCCAAGATTGCGAGCTGGTGTTTAAAGCCCGTGCTACGACGTTCGTCTGTCTGACGTGGTTCGCGCTCTTCCTGGCGTGGGAAATGATCGATTTGCGACGGTCGTTCTTCCGCATGCAGCCGGAATCCAAGAAATACTTTACCCAGTGGATGTACGATGTTTGGCGGAACAAGTTTCTCTTCTGGTCTATCATGGCTGGGTGGATCACCATGTTTCCAATTCTTTACATTCCTCGACTGAACGATGTCGTGTTCAAGCACAAACCCATCACATGGGAATGGGGTATTGTGGGCGTCGAGGCGGTTCTTTTCTTCCTGGGTGTTGAGTCGTGGAAGTGGGCCAAACGAGTCTTTTTCCGTCGCAGAGACCGCAAGAATTTACAGTTGGCTTCGATGGGAAACATGCCGGAGCAACCCTAACGAGTGCTCTCCCCGGCCAAAGATCACTTGGCTGGGGAGTAAACTCATATTGCTCCGGGGTGCGTCTCACGGAGCTAAGCGCTGCAGAATGCAGGGCTGGTATTACCTATGGTGGAGGAACGGGGTAGGTATGGAGGGCATAGCGAAAGGGAGGTCTCTGCACCCAGCAGATGGTATACCCGAAAACGCTAGTTGGGAAGCATGATGGCATCAGTAAGCCATAGGTTATAGTTGTCTTGGGGTGGGTATTCTAAAGCATCCAGAACGAATTTCGGGTCAATATTAGGACAGTTCTTTAGAATAGAAAAGTTGACACTCAACCACACTGATATCTACAGTGCTACAACTAAAGTTGAGCATGCGATAAGCGGGGAAGCCCGTGATAAGAGCGATCGGCCATCCCCGCATTCCATCCCTGCCGTAACACCAGCTTCATTATTCCCTTCCCAACTTCAACACTTTTCTCTCCTGCGAGCAAATGCTCTAGACAACGAATTATCACCATCACTCACCATGTCTCCCCGCCCCGTCATCGCCATCGCCGGCCTAGCCTGCGAAACCTCCATGTTCACCCGCGCCCGCACCCTCGCCCCCGCATTCCATCCCCGCCGCGGCCATGAAATCATCGACGAATACCCTTTTCTCAAACCCGGCACAGAGCTTGGAGATGCAGCAGACTGGCGCGGTGCATTAATTGGACACGCACTACCTGGGGGTATTGTAGTCCGGGAATCGTTCGAAGAGTTGGCCGACGAGATTATATCCCGATTGACCGACATTGTCCAGTCAACACCGCTGGACGGACTATGGTTCGATATACATGGTGCCATGTGTGTGGAAGGACTGGACGACGCAGAGTATGAGCTGTTGCGAAGGATCCGACGGGTCATCGGACCAGATGTTATTGTTTCGGCGTCTATGGACCTTCATGGCAATGTCTCGCGTGATCTAGCGCATCAGACAGATTTGATTACGTGTTATCGCATGGCACCTCATGAGGATGAGACGGAGACAAAGGAGCGTGCGTGTCGCAACATGGTTGATTTACTCGCACGTCAAAAGGAGGAAGGGCGGATATCTCGACCATTCAAGGCGTGGATACCTCTTCCTATCTTGTTACCTGGCGAACAGACATCCACGAGGGTGGAACCGGCTAAGAGACTTTATGAATTGGTACCCAAGGTTGAATCATTACCTGGTATTAGTGATGCAGCAATCTGGGTCGGGTACGCCTGGGCTGACGAGCCGCGTAATTGCGCCGTGGTGATGGTGACCGGGGCGTGTGAGGAAGCTGTCGCCGCAGGGGCGGAGCGTCTTGCAAGGAAGTTTTGGGAAGTTCATGCAGAATTCCACTTTGTTGGTCCGACAGGATCATATGAAGAGTGCATCGATGCCGCATTGCACTCCACGAAGCGACCGTTCTTCATCTCGGACTCGGGAGACAACCCAACCGCTGGGGGGTCTGGAGACGTCACCTGGGGGCTTACACGGCTGCTTGCGCGACCTGAGTTCAAAGAGGACTCTGGTCGAACTGTCATCTACGCCAGTCTACCCGGACCACAAGCGATACAGACTGTAGTAAAGGCAGGGGTTGGCGCAACAGTTACAGTCACGGCAGGAGCTGAGGTGGATTATAGTCATGCAGGCCCTCTCACCATGACTGGACGAGTTCACGCAATTAAGCACGGTGATAAAGACGCAGTAGTCGAGGCAGTTTTACAAGTTGGATCGGTCTTTGCAATCCTGGCGCAACTTCGCAAGCCGTATCACCACGAGCACGACTTTACCGACTTGAACCTTAAGCCGCGTTCAGCTGATATTGTCATCGTCAAGATAGGCTATCTAGAGCCAGAGCTATTCGACATGGCGGCCGACTGGTTACTAGCGTTGACGCCTGGGGGAGTGGACCAGGATTTAGAGCGTCTGGGACACCGTCGCATAAGTCGTCCGATGTGGCCGTTCGACAAGGTGTTTTCGACGCCACCCGATCTCTCTGCAAGGATGATCCCGCCTTCGAACGAGTCACTGGCATAAATAGCCCGCATTCGGCATGAAAGAAAGAAAGTATCTTTGCGATCTGCAAGGAATCGGCAATGACGGAGCGAGATTTTCCATCGGATATGCACGTGATGGAAGAAGCTAATTAAAGCATTGCGCTGCCAATCAGATACTCCGAGCCGTGCTCTTGTTTGGGTTGTGGATCTCGGGATTTCTTCAGTGTCTCAGTGGGATTTGGTAGTGAGCTGTCATGTCTGACTGGTAGCAGCGATGCGTACCACCAAGTGTGTTCTGTTACCTACAATAATATAAGGGGTAACTAGCTATCTTCCAGGACCATTACTGCAGTGGCGATGCAAAATAATATTCGTCATTATGCTCAATCCAACAAGTAGGGCAGCTCACATTCAGAATATATTTGCACAAGGGTCACATCACAACACATCGATTAGCTCCTATGATGTTGATGGAAACCTACAACAAATCCACTTTGATCCTACCACTTAGTTTCTTTATCTCCTATAATACTACCTCCGCCCACAGGTTGACATATTACTCAAAGTCACCCGCCAACCAACCCCCCTACATCCAATCCCACGATGCAACCAACTAACGAAAACCCACCACAACACAAGCTTTCTAGCCCCAATAGTCTCCCCCATCTACCGTACTGCCCTCTTCACATTGGATGAATTGAAAACTCCACTTTCCATCTCCCCAAACTAGCGAGTAATGTCGCAGCCTGACGAGCCACTAGCGAGGCACTATTGAAGTGGGTGCCCCCTCTCCCTCTCCCCTTAATTATTTCTTTTTCCACCTTGTCCCGGTGAGGTGGGCGGTTACTCTCTATTATTATTCTGGGGGGCTGTTCATCAATTCTGTCTCATATGCCACACCATCAACCTGGGTTGTACAAACATCCTAACAAATATTGAAAACAAATCGCAAAAATATATATATATTGACCAACACTAATACATCAATCCCACCTTCCTACAACCTCTTTACATCTTCACTATTACTCAATCCCCTAAATATTGACAATCTACAACAGAATCATTCCAGTACCAGACAACACACCCACAGCAACAAACACCACCAACTGACCCAACCCAAGCGTAGCAGTGTAGCTCATGTAACCCGGCACACCGGCAGAGCTACTCTCCGAACCACTGCTACCGGAGTCACCAGTGCTCGTACCAGCAGCAGCAGACAACGACACGGTACCCGTACCAGCGGTGCCAACAGCCTTGAGCAAGGAAGAGCAAGTACCAGTAGGAGAAGTAGTAGAGGTAGTAGTAGCCGAGCCAGCAAAGTCACAAGCGGAGGCACCGTTACCCTTCTCCTTCTGCTCCTCGTAGTAGGCGTTCAAAGCCCAGTTGAGCATCTGCTTGGTCGTGCACATGCTGTAGGCGCCGTACTTGCCCGTGGTGGCGTTACCGGTGATGCCCTCGCACACGCCGTAGCCGCAGACGGTGCTGTACAGGTCGGCGTACTTCTTGCTCGACACGCTGTCCTTCACCACGCATGAGAGGGTCTCTTCCATGCAGGAGCAGAGTTCCGAGTTGGGCGCCGGGGGCAATGCGCTGGCGGCTTCCCAGCTTGAGCCGACGGTTGGGCACGACCGGGCGACGGTGTTGGTGGGAGTGTAGCTGGCGCTGTTGGTGCCGGTGGGGCTGACGCTGTTGATTTCCTTCGAGTACGAGGAGAAGCCGGTCAGGGTGCTGACGGAGCCGTCGGAGATGGTGACCAGACCTGGATGGGGTTAGTGAGTGAGTGGTTAGGTGGGGAGGTGAAAGGGTTGGGGAAGGGGAGGTGTACCGTAGTCGTTGGCATCCTGGAAGTACTCGTAGACGATACCACCGGCGAGCCAGTAGTCCATCTTAGGGCCGTACATGACGGGGACATTGCTGAAGGAACGGGGCTGGACGGTGATACAACCGTACTCGGAGAAGAAGTAAGGGACGGAGTAGTTGCTCAGATCCTCGGTCATGACGTTGTAGCCGGACTCAGTGTAGGTGGAGTCACCGCACCACTCGTAGACATTGTCACCGAAGAAGTCGACGGAGTCGTCCGAGTCACCGCAGTTGAAGTAGTCGACGAGGTCGGTACGGATCTCGGAGACATCAGCAGCGGAGTAACCGACACCGATGGAGCGGTAGTTCTTGGACTTGATATAGGCCTTCATGTCACGCACGGAGGCCTTGACGTAGGCGCTGGCACCGGTGGTATTGACACTGTTGGAGTTCTCGTTACCCGCGAAGAAGCCCAGAGTGTTGGTGTAGTTGGCCAGCGAGTCGACCACGCTGGCGTAGTAGTTGTACAGGTCAATGGTCCACTCCGGGTCGCTGCTGTCGATGGAGTAGTCCGCGGAGGACAGGTCCGCCAGCACGTAGATACCTGCGTCGGCAAACAGGTTCATGCACGTGGTGTGGTCCGCGTCTGGGTCGATGTCGTAGACACGCACCACGTTGGTGTTGAGTTCCTGCAGGTAGGGCAGATCCCGCTTGCAGATGGTCTCGTTGGCGAGGGGATCGACGAAATCGACCGTGCCAGCGGAGGTCGTCGTGCCGTCGTCATCATAGGGGGCTGTAATGATTATTAGTTTGTTGCAACAGGGCCAGTGGGCATGTTAGGTTGCTCCTTACGCTGGTAGGCCACACCACGGATGAAGCTGGGACAGATTAGCAGGTGGTGATGGAGGATAGAAAGAGGATAGGTACATACAATTCTGTGCCGTTGTTTTCGTAGAAGAATTTGGAGCCCTAGGAAGGGTCAGCGGGATGAATAGATGGATTGGTAATGATGGCTACCTTAATGACAATGGCTGGGGCAGAGGCGACAGCCACGTCGACGAGGGCAGCCGCCGCTACAGCAGAGACGGCGAGCTTCATAGTGAGGGGGAACGAAAGAAGACGATGCTATAGAACGAGTGTGGTTGTTGTATTAAGATAGAGCGAATGTGGTGGTTAACGAGAGGAAGAAAACCAAACGAAAAGGCTAAGCAAAAGGATACAAGATGGATGGATGAAAGAAGAAAGAGAAAGAGAATCTGGAGCGAGAGACAAAGTGGGAGGGAGGAAATGGGAAGACTAAGAAGGAAGAGATGGAGACCGGCGAGGCGAACCTTTGCTAGTCTGGACTCTTATTAGTTGTTACTTGTTAGGGCCGCATTTGCCTGCTGCCTACGGAAAAAGCCCATTGGCCCCCCTGAAGGTTGTGTCAGGATGGGCAGAGAGACTGGGCCTGATGGAACGGCGCTACCATTGGGGGAGCCAGCCAGTCTCT